ATTTCCTTTTGACCCTGATTATTTATTCAGCACAGCCCAGCAGGGGACGTGAGCACAGAGCCAAAAATCCTCTCCTCGTGCGGGGAGGACTGGCTGGCCACGCCAAGCATGATTGATTGGGGCTGGCGCTGCAGGCCTCTGGAAAGAGTTATTTTTATCTTGCTCTGAGCAAAGTTTTTCTATCACCTTGCTGCAAACAGCTCGTCAGGAGAGCGCTCTTCGGCCGGTGGCTGGGGCTCTCGCTTGGTGCCCGGGGGCCTCGGTGAATTCTGCCGGTGATGTGTTGGGGCTGAGACAAAGCTGGCACTGCACCGAGGCAGGCATCGGGGATGGGGGCTCCTGGTCGGCCCATGTCCTGCTGGGAGACCCCCCCCAGCAGACTGGTGCCTGCGCTGCACGAACAGCAACACCCCCAGGAGAAGGCAGGCTTAGCAAGAGCCGGTTGTGAATAAATCCCGACCGATCTACATCCGCCCCTGGAGAGTTTAGGGCTAGGTTAGCCAGAGTGTGCAGGGCTGCCTGGAGTGCTGCCAGCAGCCGTTGTTTGGAGAAAAATCAATCCCTGCAGACACCCCGCAACTCTATGTATTTATCACTGTTGTGCATGGAGGACAGACCCCAAAATGCAGCATGCAGCGTCTCTGGCATCCTCTGCTTTGCTTGGAGAAGCCAGAGAGGAGGGCAGGGAAGTGTGGAGCAAGGGCAGAGCGCTTCGGGCATGGGCAGTGTCTGTCCCAGCTGGGGGCTGCACCGCTCGTGTCGGGTGGTTACATTGGGGACCACGAGAGCTGCACGCAACCAGGAGACCAGGGGCCTCTCTTCTGCTGCCTTATTTTTTTATTTCTTTTTTTAATGCCCAAAGTTGTCCCCAAATTGAAATCGTTTCATCTCGATGCTGCTCAAGGACGCAGTCTCTCCTCTTTCCAGCTCAGTATTTGAACTTCAGTGGTGGCTGCTGTTTGATTGATGTTGCCATCTCTTTCTACTCTACCTCTGTCAAATCAAAGCTGCCTTCACAGTGCTGCTGCTGCGGAGACTTGAGCAGAAAAGCTGCCGAGCAGCCGTCCCAAGGCAGAAGGATGGTGGGTGGCGGGCAGGGGTGGCAGGCAGCCTCAGATCAGCACGTTCGTTTGGTCTTCAAAACATCCCGACGCTTCTCAAACTGTAAAGCAGCTTTTTTGTGCCTGTTTATCCCTGCGCTTCAGCAGCGGCACCAGGGAGTGAGCAGTGAAGTATTTTGGGAGCAGGAGCTGCGCCTCTGTTACATGTTTCTCTGTCTCACATGAAAAGCACATTTCAGCTGCTCCCTAATTGCTACAGAGCCGCGAGGCTTTGAAGTTTGTTCTGCGCATCCGGGCTCCGGTTTCCTCCGTGGTGGTGCTGTGGGATAGAGCTGCCAGCACCCGGCCGGTTTGCATCCGTTTGATCCTAACCTCCTTTTTGCCCTGCCTCTTTTGTTTTGTCTCCCCACTTCTGTGCCCTGCAGATTCAGAGGATGACGGAGAGTCAGAGGCAGCGAAACAACTGATTCAGCCCATAGCTGAAAAAATCATCGCCAAGTACAAGGCCAAAGAGGAGGAGGCACCGTTGCTCTTCTTCGTGGCAGGCGAGGTAAGCGGGAGGGGAGCACAGGGCTGCATCCTGCTGTGTCTTTGTACGAGGACTGAGCTGGGTTGGGTACTGCTGTTGCCGCTCCTCAGGTGGGTAAACTGAGGCACCGGAGCTATTGCAGGTAGTCAGGGACCATGGGGCAAAGCCAGACTTAAGTCCTGGCGCAGTCCTCTGCACTCATTGCTGGATATTACCGCTGGCAAAGGGGTCCCAGCTGTGTTTGCTTGGAGGTGGAAAAGCCTGACGCGGGCAGGAGAGCTGCTGGGGATGGGCAGAGAGGGGCTGGGGGAGGGGGGAGGGAGCCACCAGCTGCCCCTTCAAACCCCGAGGCTGCATGGGCAGGAAAGCCAGCCGGGCAGGGCGAGAGGAGCCGCAGTTTGGGTTTCAGCTGGTGGTGCCCTCCTCGCTGAGTTGCTGCTGCCTTCCTACCCTGGGAAGAGGGCAGGGACCGGTGCTCCAGCCCCTTCCTTGAGGGCTGCCTGTGGGCAGGGTGGGTGATGTCGGACAAAACTGCCCCTGGGAGCGGGCAAGGGCTGCTCGGGGAGCAGCGGGGTGGTGTGCAGCCATGCTCCC